TGAAATGACTTACAAAGAACCAAGAGCTGCAGTCCCTGGCCACCACAGCCCGGATCTGCGCCGGTCTGCCTGAGAGCCGGCAACCATGGCCTTTGTTTGCAGCCACAGGAGAGGCTGGGGCTGCAGATAAACCCCTCCCTCGCCGGGGCTGCGGCCAGAGGCTCACCCGGCGCGGCTGCCTTCCGAGGGCAGATAACTGAAACCGCAGAGGCTTTGGGATCCTGAGAAACGAGAAATCGACCAACGGAGAAGGATTTATTATCTGCTTCCTTTAAGCAGGGCGCAAAGTTGTTCTAACAGTTTCCGTTACAGGGGTGCCCGCCGGCCGCTCCTCCCCAACAGACGGTTGTGTCGAGTCGGCTTTTTTTCTTCTCCTTTTTTGGCCCCACTTCCTATGAGAGCAACTGCTTGAATGAGGAAGAAGGGAGTCCTGGGGGGGCGTGGGGGAGGGGGGCTGTTCTCTGAAGTTCCCTTCTCCGTTCTCACCAGCCGCCTAAGGTGGGGCCTGGACAGCACAGAAGGTCCCTGTAGCAGGAGGAGTTGAAAGTCGAGGGGATCCCCCACTTTCTTCACACGCAAGACGCAGGGGGCAGCCCCTGGCCACAGAAACCCCGAGAAGGCGTTTCTCTCCATTCGGAGAATATGTGCTGGGCGCCGGGCCCCGTGCTGAGCGGTTGCCGCCACACGGCAGGGAAAGTGCTGCTCGGGCTTCGGTGAAGAGAGGCCGCGGGGCAGCCCCGGCTCCGGAGCCTCGCGCACCCCGGGGGCTCAGTGATGAGATGTCTGCGGGTGGCACTGGGGCGAGAACCCGCCCCCGAAACGGCTGCCCCGGGGGCCGAGTGAAGGCGGGGGAGGGGGCCGAGGACGGGACAGTGTGGTGGGAAGCCTCCAGGTGTCACCGGGGCGGGAAGGTGCGAGACCGAGGGCTCGGAGCGTCCCCGCCCCGCAGGCCCGGAGTCATCATGGCCGCCGCGGAGGGGGCGGGGCCGCGCCGGGCGGGGCCGCCGCCGCGGAGCCAGTGCGCAGGCGCGGCCGCTGGGGCCCCGGATGGTGGCGCGGAGGTGCGGACCCCGTCTGGGAGGTCGAGGCGGGCTGACGTCGGGGACTCTGCGCCGGCGTGGGAGCCCGAGAGTTCTTGGGGGAGGGAAGTTGTGAAACGGAGGCGGAGAGAAGCGAGGCGGAGGCGGAGGGAAGCGAGGCGGAGGCCGCCGAGAAGCGGGAGCCCCGCCCCTCCGCCATAGCGGCTTCGGGGCACCGCCTCTTCCTCTCCAGTCTCCCGCCCTCCCCTGCCTTCCGGCCCCGCGGCCCGGCCCGGCCGGACCCGCCGCCCCCTCGGAAACACCCCTTCGCCCTTTGGGGAGAGGAGATCCCGGGGCCAGCGGGGGGGCTGTGTCTGAAAGAAGCGGGCTAGCCGCGGCTCGCGACGGCCAGCGAGGCCCCGGGCCTGGAGGACCCCCGTGACAGCCATTCCCCACCCACACAGGATGGCGTCTCCCCCAGAGCCCAGGTTCCAGTGCAGCGGCTCCCTGTTTCCTCAGGCCTCGCTCCCTCAGCTCACCCGGCGGGAGCTCCCGCCGTCCTCGGACAGACCGGGCCGGGCTGGGGAGAGCTGGGGTGAAATCCTGTCTTAGAAAGAGCGCGTCCCCTCTGGCTCCTGTGAGGCCTGCCAGGAGGACCCTGAGGTTTCAGAGTTTCAGAATGAAAGAAAAGGACGTTCTCTTTAAATACAGACTTGAGTGTGCCGCTTGCCCCCAGTGAGCCTCAGTTTCCACATCTATAAAAATGGCGACGGTAATTACACTGGCCTCACAGGGTTTAATGAGATCTCTGATGTAAAAACCGGGGAGGTTTTTATTACTCACCTCGGGGGCATATGTATCTCATGGGAAAATGGGAGCAAAACGAGTAGCTCTCTGTCCCGACAGCTCAGAGAGAGTGACTTGGCGAAGGGTTTGCTGGGAAGGGAGGGTGGCAATTAGCTGAGAGGGAGCACTCACTGGCTTTGTTTTGTTTTCACTTGGTTTGCCTGGAAATTAGGGCTACAAGTCTCCCCGTGGTCGCTGGGGCTAGAGCTTGACTCGAGAGAGGAAGGAAGAATGGCGGCCTGGTGAAGAGGCAGAGGTGGGTTAAGTGCTTTTCTGTTCCTAACTTCTCTTCTGCATGTGGGTGGGAACGGAAGAAGGGCAAAAAAGTGAATTCAGGCAAGGGTAGAGAACCAGTGGACCGTGTGAGGTTTGATGGTGCCTGTTTCTGCGATTCCTCTCGATTCAGCGAGTCAGATGTTGGAAATGTTGGATAGAGTCACAAACTGCCTCTTTGGGGTTTTCCGAAGCTTGCCTTTGAACTGAATTTTGATGAGCAAAATTGGTGGCCCCTCCCTTCCTCTTGGCTTCCTGGTAAAGGAGTAAGCAGTAGGCGCCCCCTTGTGCTGAGGATAGGTACTGTTGCTATTGGCCAATCTTGCTTCCTTTATGGAGACTTTTTATTTTTCTACTAGAGGCCCAGTGCACGAAATTTGTGCGTGAGGGGTGGCCCTCAGTCCGGGAGCCCTCTGGGGATGACCCACTGAGGGGAGTGGGCCTAAGATGGCAGTCAGGCTTCCTTAGTGCTGCCGTGGAGGCAGGAGAGGCTTCCTGCATTGAGCCTCTTCCCTCTGGTGGTTAGTGTGCATCATACTGGCCAGTCTTTCCACTGTTCGGTCGATTTGCATATTATTATCCTTTTATTATATAGAACTATAGACCTGTGGGGTCCCTCAGCCTGGCCTGTACCCTCTCACAATCTGGGACACCTCTGGGGATATCGGACTGCCAGTTTCTGCCTGATCCCCGCAGGCCAGTCTGAGGGACCCCACCCGAGCACGAATCTGCACCGGGCCTCTAGTATCCATATAAGATCTTCGGTTAATCTTTTCTCAACCTCTCGGCTCCCCCCTTCCCTCTGAGATTCATCAGTCTGTTCCATGTTTCCATGCCTGTGCGTTGAGTGTCTGCCCCCTGTGGTCAGTATGTGTCATAGCTACTGGTCCAGCGGTCACTTAGGCTATTAGATATGTAGACAGCTTCTCATGACTTTGTAGTCTTGCTCTTAACACAAGTATGGTGAGAGGAATACTTGGTGCAGTGATTTTTATACCCAGAGCCAATGAATTGGTAATGACACATCCTGTGCTTGTCACTTACACTTAATCGGAACACAGGCTTAAAATAGTCTATTTGTATGCTAGGCCCTGAGGATATAGTTGTGAACCCTTAAGGTTGACACCCCCCTACCCTCCCAAGCAACTTATTTAAGCAAGAGCACTAAGACCACATGTCAGAGTACAATGAAAGCATATCACATAGTCTGGTGAATTCCAGACAAGGGATACCTGAAGGCTTGGTAGGTATTAGCCAGATAAGAGAAGGAAGAAAAATATTCCAGTCCTCCCTGTTAGTTTTTCAATTTAATTTTTTTTTTTTCTTTAGGGATAGAACTCAGTGGATGTTTGTGGGGTGGAACTGGGGCAAGAACACCAAATCTGGGACTTGTATCTGATGTTCTTGCCCTTCTTTCTGATTTCCCAGACTTGTTCTGTGAGAGCCATTGCTACTTCTTTTAGCCCAAGAGACTGTAGTGTATTATTTTTTTAATAATAAAAATCCTTGAAGTGCATTCCTTACCTCAAAATGGCTTTGCAGCTGTTTATGTGTTGCTGCCATTCCAACAAAGGCGAAATACTTTTCCTCTGGCTCTAGCAGTCAGCTCTGTCTTCCCTGAGTTTGTTCTAGCAATGTAAGCTGGTTCAAGTCCTGCCGAGTGGTGGTTTTCTTTTCCTTCTCCACTTACTTTAACAGACCAGCTGAACACACATCAGAGAGCTGAGCTGAAGTTTGTAGTCATTATGGTCTTCCAGTTCAGTTGTAGGCCCCATTTTTGGGACTCTGGTTTGGGACCTCGTTTATTATTCTGGGCAAGAGGAAAAGGGCACACACCAAATAGCACCAACCACAAGACAGACGAAGTAGTCCTTCTTCACACTTGAGTCCATTTCACCATCATGACAGTTTTGTGAGATGGGCAAAATAATCTGATCTCATTGTTTACATAAAGAACCGAGGTTCAGAAGGACTAAATGAGAATTTGTGAGTGACAGAGCCCGGATCTGAACTTAGGTCTTTAGTTCCTGCATATTGTGGGGGGAAGGGAGGCATGCAACAAAGCTTTATTTTTTATTATTGTTTTTTTAAATATATTTTATTGATTTATTTTATTTTATTTTATTTTATTTTTTTCCAGAGAGGAAGGGAGATAGAGAGTTAGAAACATCAATGAGAGAGAAACATCGATCAGCTGTCCCCTGTACACCCTCCACTGGGGATGTGCCCGCAATGAAGGTACATGCCCTGACTGGAATCGAACCCGGGACCTTTCAGTCTGCAGGCGGACGCTCTATCCATTGAGCCAAACCAGTCTCGGCACAACAAGCTTTTTAAAGATTTGCTGCGAGCCCTAGCCTTTTTGGCTCACTGGTTAAAATGTTGGCCCCGGGAGACTGAAGAGTCTCTTCAGCCCCCGATTCCATTCCTGTCAAAGGACAGGAGTGAGTGCAAGGCAACCAACCGATGTGTCTCAGTCTCTTCCCCTCCTTTCCATTCTCTCTCTAAAAAGAAGAAAGAAATCAATGGTAAAACTATGCTTGGGTGAGGATTAATAACAAACAAACAAACAAAAAGATTTGCTGTGAATTTAGATTTCCGATTTCATGCCTATGTGTGGAATTTTCCCAACAAGAATATAGTGTTTCAGAATGACATCTGCCTTCACGATGCTTTTCGCTCCTTTGAGAAGTTAAGTGGTTAAATTTGACTAGTAATGCTGAAGGGGGTAGTCTCCTGTGGAGAATGCTTTTAAGAATTTACTTTCAGCCCACGTGACATTTCCTTCTTGGGTTTTGGCGTTTAGAAGCCTAAGGGAGCTCAGTCCTGGCAGCAACACCCGTGGATTCCTGTGGTGAGAGGATGTGGCCCCTGGACCCGTCCCGGAGAGAGGTGCTGAGGTTTGCGGCCAGCTGCCGGGTCCTGACTCTGGTGCTGCAGGTCAGTCTCTGATCTTTTGTGCTGAACATGGCGTGACTGGGCCAGACACTCAGAATAGTCCCCATCTTTCCACCTCTGAGGTGTTGCCCCTCCAGGTGGCGGAATCATAGACACTTAGACTTCATGGCTGGAAAATGGGCAAGACTCTTAGAAATGGTCTTTAATCCCTTGTCTTACACATGAACGGCAGAGGCCCAGAAAGTTTAAAGAGCTTCCCTAAAGTCATACAGGTTAGAGAAGGGCTAGAATCAGAACCCAGGTTTTCTAGCTCCTGAGCTAGCGGTCTTTCCAGCAGGCCATGATGTTCTGTAACCAGAGGTGACAGGGTGTGACAACTCAAAGCATTGGCCTGGATCCCCTAAGCAGGAGACTGAGCACTGTGTCAATCAGTTGAATGGGAAAGAGGTGCCAATGTCCTGAGACCACCTGTGTGTATTTGTTTAGTCAGTAGTGTCTCCTGCTCTTTGTCTCCCCTTGCTGTCTCACCCACACACAGCCCTCAGAATGCATTCACTTTTGCAAAACTCCCTTCCCCCTCCAAGGCTGTCCTTATACATATTTTAATTGCTTTTCGTATATGTATGCGTTAAATGCAGTGCCTAGCACAATGCCCAATGTTTAATAGGTCCTTAGTATGTGTTGGTAAATGTAGTCAACACCTTGGGTATGTTGTTATATGAACATAATTATTGTATGTGTATCTTTTCACAAGCTTCATTCTCTCTGAGGCTCAGCGGGTTCCTTTGTGGAAATCCCCTTTTCTCTTTTCTCCCTTACTATAGGAGGCACAGTAGGCTCTGCTGGCTTCCAAGTTTAGTTAAAAGTCTTGCCAGATCCAGTTTGGCTCAGTGGATAGAGCGTCGGCCTGCGGACTGAAAGGTCCCAGGTTCGATTCCGGTCAAGGGCATGTACCTTGGTTTCAGGCACATCCCCAGTGGGGGGGAGGAGGGTGCAGGAGGCAGCTGGTCAATGATTCTCTCTCATCGATGTTTCTAGCTCTCTATCCCTCTCTCTTCTGCTCTGTAAAAAAAAAAATCAATAAAATATAATTTTTAAAAAGAATATATTAAAAAAAAAAAAAAGTGTCTTCAACATGGAGACTCGGACTGTTTTCACTATTAGAAATGGCCTGATTACCAAAAAAACTGACCAAAACAAGAAAGAGCCTTAAAAATGGGGTTGTACTCCTGGTGCCAGGCTGGAGAAACTGACTCAGTGATAGCTTGGAACCAGTACTAGCTGAGTGATTGGCAGAACCAAAGGAGCAATACTGTGAATTGGCATCTGGGATAGGAAACCATTACAGCTGGGTTCTAATTCAGTTGATTTGGAAACAAGGATGTTTTGTAAACTGTTCATTCAATCACCAAAAGTTTATTTAGTACCTACTCTGATCCATGAACTGCGCTAGGTGGCAAGTATAAAAGTAATGGTGTCTTTTCCCTTAAGTAACTGACAACCTAATCGGGCAAAAAGATATTTAACAATATGCTATTTTGTTATTTCTCCCAACAAAACTTTCTAGTTTTAAAGGTAATGCCATCAGAATATATTGCCAATTAGCCTTGCTGTCATCTGTGGTTTTATTGATTTCAGAGAGGCAGGGAGAGGGAGAGATAGAAACATCAATAATGAGAGAGAATCATTGACCGGCTGCCTCCTGCACACCCCCCACTGGGGATTGAGCCCACAACCCAGGCATGTGCCATTGACCGAATCGAAACCAGGACCCTTCAGTTTGCAGGCAGACGCTCTATCTATCCACTGCCCCAAACTGGCTATGGCTGTCATCTGTGTTAATGACAGCTCATTCCTCATTCCTTGAAGGTTTTCGCTTCTGATTCAGTTTCTCTTTCCAGCACAACTATTGATTTCTTGATAGTTTGAATATTAATAAGGCTAATACACCTGACCATTATCTCCTATCATTTCAGCTCACTTTCTCTAGTATCCCAGCTCTAATGATCCTTCTAACCCCTCAGGATTTATAATCCATTGATCCTACCACTTTTCATTGATCCTTCTCACCCATCTCAAGGATTCAGCTCCACTTTTTACCTAGCTTGGATCACATGTTTCATCATGCATAGGCACACAACTCACTTACTCCCTACTTGGTATGTCCAACCTTGGTTAAATTCAGTTCTCTGTCATACCATGCTTGCATCTGCACAGAGTAAAACACACAACTATAGTAACTAGTTTCCTTTTATTCAAGATCATTAATCCAATTGAGTCCATAATGCTACCTGCCAATGTTAGTGTATTTCTCTTGTCCATCCACTGCACCCCTATACTCTTCCTTTCCCTTCTTCTTCCCCCACATTGTCATTCTCCTACTACCCCATTTCTCTGCTCGCCTTTACAGGAAATCTCCTCCAAATAATTGTCTTATGCACTATCTCCCTTCTTCCCTTCGCTGTTGAACCCAATCTAGGCGTTCTTCTCTCTCCTCCACCCCACTGAAATAGCTCTTGTCAAAGTCACCAGTGACCTTCACATTGCTAAATCTACTGGTCAGTTTTCAGTCCCCATCTTACTTGACTTATTGGCAGCATTTAACAGAGCTGATCACGCCCTTGCTTCACTCAGTCTAAGACACCATACTCTCCTATTTCCCCCCTACTTCACTGACTATTTCTTCTTTTTTGTGTGTGATTTTATTTATTTATTTTTTTTTAAATATACTTTATTGACTTTATACAGAGAGGAAGGGAGAGAAGATAGAGAGTTAGAAACATCAATGAGAGAGAGTCATCGATCAGCTGCCTCTTGCACACCCCCTACTGGGGATATGCCCGCAACCAAGGTACATGCCCTTGACCGGAATCGAACCCGGGACCTTTCAGTCCCCAAGCCGACGCTCTATCCATTGAGCCAAACCGGTCCCGGCTTGTGTGTGATTTTAAAAGCACATTTATTAGAGCTGGGGACAGTTAAACAAGGAAGAGCTTAGAATAGAAGAAGCAACTTTTCTATCCTAGGCAGGGCTGCTTAGCTCTCTAGACATGCTATAGAAAAGAAATGAGTCTAGGCGGAACTACTTTGGCTCACTGAGAAATCAGAGAAAAGGGGATATTGGAGACAATGAGGGTGAGTCCAGGACGAGCTGCCCGCTGCCCACTGTTCCCCTGGTTGCAAGTCTCCTGCGGTCCCTTAGAGTTTAGGAGATCCATGCCGGAAAGGGAAGAAGAAGGGAAAGGAAGAGTATAGGGGTGCTCTCGGGAGGAGGAGTGTCCCTGACTGTTCTTTATCTTCACTGCCGGATCCTCACCCCCTTTCAAGTCACTAAATGTTGATGTGGCCAGGGAACAGTCTTTGGAGCTCTATCTGTATGTCCTAGTGCTCGCATTCAGCCCCATACATTTAAATACTGCCCATTACTTATGACTCCCAAATTTATATCTCTAGCCCTGATCATTCTTCTGACCTTCAGACTCATATATCTCACTGCCTCATTGACCTCTGCACTGGAATGTCCAACTCAGATTTAACCAGTCCAAAACTGACTGATTCCCCCCAAACAGATCTGTTCTTAATTTTATTAAATAGTAATTATTTTCGTCTAGTTGTTCAATCAAACTCCTAGTTCTTCTTCATCCCACAGGCTCTCTTCAATGCCTTCATCCCAGATCACCATGCAGAAGCCTTCTCTCCTCCTCGCCTTGCCCCCTCTGGCTCTGCGGACCAACTCGTGGAAGGTCTTCTGGACGGCCTGTCTCGCTGGGATGCTGAGCACTTTCTGTTCATTGCTGAGCATGGCTACCTGTATGAGCACAACTTTGCCTTCTTCCCTGGTTTCCCCCTGGCCCTGTTGGTGGGGACTGAATTGCTGAGACCCCTGCGGGGGTTACTGAGCCTGCGGAGTTGCCTGTTAATCTCGGTAGCATTGCTCAATTCCTTGTTCTCCATCCTGGCTGCGATTGCCCTTCATGACCTGGGCTGTCTGGTATTGCACTGTCCCCGCCAGGCCTTTTACGGAGCACTGCTTTTCTGCCTCAGCCCTGCCAATGTCTTCCTGGCTGCTGGCTACTCAGAAGCTTTGTTTGCCCTCCTGACATTCACCGCCATGGGGCAGCTGGAAAGGGGCCGGAGCTGGACTAGCGGACTCTTCTTTGCCCTCGCTACTGGGGTACGCTCCAACGGGCTGGTGAGCATTGGCTTCCTTGTGCATTCTCAGTGCCGAGGCTTCTTCTCTTCTCTCCTGGTGCGGAATCCTCTGAGACAGCTCTTGAAGCTCATGGGCTCTGTGCTCCTGTCTGTGCTCACCCTTGGGCTTCCCTTTGCCCTCTTTCAGTATTATGCCTACACCCAGTTCTGTCTGCCAGGCTCAGCCCACTCCATCCCTGAGCCCTGGCTGCAGTTAGCTGTGGACAAGGGCTACCGGATTGCAGAGGGAAACGACCCTCCTTGGTGCTCCTGGGAACTTCCTCTAATATACAGCTATATCCAGGATGTCTACTGGAATGTTGGCTTTCTGAGATACTATGAGCTTAAGCAGGTACCCAATTTCCTGCTGGCTGCACCAGTGGCTATCCTGGTTACCTGGGCAACGTGGACATATGTGACCACCCACCCTTGGCTCTGCCTTACACTTGGGATGCGAAGGAGCAAGAGCGATGAGACTCTAGAGAAGCCGGATCCCGGATTCCTCAGTCCTCGGGTGTTTGTGTACCTGGTCCACGCTGCAGCGCTGCTGCTGTTTGGCAGTCTGTGCATGCACGTTCAGGTGAGTGGACTCCTGGCTGGGAAAGGATGTGAATTCAGACAGAATCCCTGGGCCAGGAACGGGGAAGACAGCTAACTTCTCCCATCTGAGTGAACCGTACCTGGTTTGTTTATTCAACAACTATGTGAGGGCTTTGTTTGTGTTAGACCCTGGGTCAGACCACTGAAGATGGAACATGAGTAAGATAAGATTGCTGTCCTAATGCTTCTCGTGGTATAAATGGGAGACAGACGTTGAACAGGTAAAACTATAGGGCAGTGGGATGGGAGAGAATTTGCTGTTTTGAGATAAAGTATTTTGGGAAGCACAAAGGGGAAAAAAGTAGCTGACTGAAGGAGGGTGTCATTTAGGCCTGGTTGTAAAGAATAAGAAGAAATTCCATTTAAGAAGCAAAGAAAGAATATTCTGGGCAAATGAAGGGTGTGTGCAAAGATATGAGAGTTGTAAGAGGACCCGATTTGACTGAGATAGAAGAATGGGCACAAGGAATACATCTGGGACCTTCCCCTAATACAGTTATACCCGGAATGTCAGCTTGAGAGTTGGCTCTCAGGTACTCAGCGGGTGCTCAGTTTTCAGAGGAGACATCTTGTGCAATCAATGTTCAGGGTGGTAGTGTAATATAAAGGGATGGGGAGGGTTTGATCATTAATCCCATCTCTTTTTTTTATTCTTTTTTTTAATCCTCACTCGAGGATATTTTTTCATTGATTTTTAGAGAGTGGAAGAAAGAAAGAGACAGAGAGAAACATCGATGTGAGAGAGACACATCGTTTGGTTGCCTCCTGCATGTACCCCCACCAGGGCTGGGGGGACCTGCAGCCACGGCATGTGCCCTTGACTGAAATCAAGCCCAGGACGCTTCAGTCTGTGGGCCGACACTCCATCCACTGAGCCAAAATGGTTAAGGCAATTTCATCTTTTTTGTTTCTGGCTGTGGCTCCAGTTTCAACTTAACTCTGAGGAAGTCTTCTTATCTCTATGCTGGCCTCTCCTTAGCAGTTTCTGCTTCTTGAAGGCACACAGTGGCTGTTTGTAAAGTTCTCTGAACTGAATAAGAGGCAGAGGGGAAACAGAAAATAGCATTATTCTGTGTTTGTAGCTGGATTAGCTAGTGCCAGCAAACGTTAGCATTTCCAGGTAGATGAGGAAGGCCATTTGGCTCTGAATGCCCCTAGAAGGGAGAATGTTAAACCATAGTATCCTCTGCTCCCTTTTTCTCTGCTTTATATCTCCATGGGATGAGGGAACCACCTTACATTCCAAAGCTCCACATCACAGCCTAGAGTTTAGAGTCCAAGCCTAGGGTATAATTGAACCCCGAAGAGGTGGTGGTGTTTTTTTATTGTTTCTTATTTTTATTTTTATTGATTAACTCATTACTGTGGTAATTAGGTTAGCTATCTTCATTTGTAACATTGAGGTCACCTGGCTGGTATCATGCACAGCTTTATAAGGCATATCCTAAGCTATACTAAATTTTATATCCAATGTAATACATTTCTAGTCATGGGGTTATAGTTCACCCAGCAGCAGGCAAGCCGCAGGTTGGTCCAATTTCAGGTAGTGACATTCCAATAAATGTGTGGGTTTCCCTCTGTTATGATTTCCAGGTTCTCACCAGGTTTTTGGGGTCCTCCACTCCTATCGTATACTGGTTTCCAGCTTACTTGCTTCAGCATCAGGAGCCACTGCTGAGATCTCTAGAGTCTGTGCCTTGGAAGCCTCCTGCAGAAGACTCCCCACCAGGACAAAATGTCCCCAGAAACGCTATCATTGGACTTTTGTACAACTGGAAAGCCTGTTCTCGAGTCACACGATGCATTCTCGGCTACTTCCTGACTTACTGGCTCCTGGGACTACTTCTGCATTGCAACTTCCTGCCTTGGACATGACCTGGAGTCTCAGGGGACAGACTGGAAGCCAACTTAACCAGGAATCTGAAAGTACAAATATATAAAAACACTGCCTGCGCTGCCTTCGGATCCTTACTCTGTCTGTGGGCCGACACTCCATCTACTGAGCCACTCCAACCTTCTCTATTTGAAGGTTGGTTAGGAGTGGGAACAATATGAGCCACTGGAGATCCCCTATGGTCCTGGCTTTGGGAAATTTTAGAATAGTAACTATTTTTACAGAAAGTAAAAAAATAATATTCCAATTCTAAAGTATAAAAGTTACATTTAAAAATAATAATAATAAAGTATACCTGGATTTGTCTCTTCAACCAAGAACAGCAGAAATAGTTTTAAACTTACCACTGACCCACATGTAATTTTGTTGTTGCTAATCCTCACTTAAGGATATTTTCCATTGATTTTTTAAAAATATATTTTATTGATTTTGTACAGAGAGGAAGGGAGAGAGATAGAGAGTTAGAAACATCAATGAGAGATAGTCATTGATCAGCTGCCTCTTGTACCCCCCCCACAGGGGATGTGCCCGCAACCAAGGTACATGCCCTTGACCGGAATTGAACCCGGGACCTTTCAGTCCCCAAGCCGACGCTCTATCCATTGAGCCAAACCGGTTTTGGCTCCATTGATTTTTTTTTAATATATCTTTTTATTGATTTGGGAAAAGGAGGGATAGAAACATCAATGATGTGAGAGAATCACTGATTGGCTGCCTCCTGCATGCTCCCTCTCCTGGGGATTGAGCCTAGAATCCTTCAGTCTGCAGGCTGATGTTCTATCCACTGAACCAAACTGGCTAGGATTCCATTGATTTTTTATAGAGTGGAAGGGAGGGAAAGAGGAGAGAGGGAGAGAGAAAGATCCATGTGAAAGAAATACATTAATCAGTTGTTTCCTGCATACCTGCATAAGCCCCAACTGGGGCCAGGGATTGAACCTGCACCCTAGGTGATGGAACCTGCTACCCTTTGATGTTTGGGGAGGGGATGAGGGAGATGGAGGATGCTATAACAATTTAGCAAACTGGCCAGGATCCACATGTAAATTATTTAAATGTAAATTTTATCAGCCCTGGCTGAGTAGTTCAGGAACATCGCCCCAATGCACCAAGGTTACGGGTTCCATCCCCAGTCAGAGCACATGCAAGAATGAATGAGCCTTAACTATTTGGCTCAGTGGATAGAGTGTTGGTCTGTGCACTGAAAGGTCCAAGGTTCAATTCTGGTCAAGGGCATGTACCTTGGTTGCAGGCTCAATTCTCAGTAGGGGCTGTGCAGGAGGAGGCAGCTGATCCATGTTTCTCTCTCATCCATGTTTCTATCTCTTCCTCTGTAAAAATCAACAGAATTTGCTGAGACTGGTTTGGCTCAGTGGATAGAGCGTCGGCCTGTGGACTCAAGGGTACCGGGTTCGATTCCGGTCAAAAGCATGTACCTTGGTTGTGGGGACATCCCCTGTGGGGGTTGTGCAGGAGGCAGCCGATCGATGTTTCTAACTCTCTATCCCTCTCCCTCTATGTAAAAAAATCAATAATATATATATATATATTTTTTTTTAAATCAACAGAATTTTTAAAAAAAAGGATCAACTAATGAGTGCATAGATAGATGAAATAACAAATCAATGTTTCTCAAAATAAATAAATATAAATTTCATCAAAAGCTCTAGCTAATAGGCTGATGATAGTCCACACATGATGGCAGAGGCCTGAACAGTGTCATGGCAGTAGTAAATAAAATAGATCCTTCTTTTCTAATTGGGACATTGTTTCTGATGATTTTTTTGATTCATTTATTTATATGGAAAGTCTTACAAAGATATGCAAATTAACTTTTGGTTAAAGGAGCAATCAGTTAACTTTTAAAAAAACAATGCAAATTATTGGGGTTGGGGGGGTGGGGAGTCATAGTAAGAAAAGCATTACACAAGGAAGCAGCAGACCTGGATTCTAGACCTCCCATATCCGCTATGTGACCTTGGGAGAGTTTTCAGAGCCTTAGCATCTCTTCTGAAACTAGAGGAAATGATACCCATAGGGAAAGTTAGGGGTGGAGGGGGTGGTATTAATCTCTTATAGGTCCCTTTCTCTTAAGATCTTAAGAACTGCCTTAAACAATGGAATTATCCCAATCTAAACACTTATATAGAGGCTCAAAAGTGATTTTAGGAGAAAATAGTTCTGTTTTCAGCCGGGACTGGTTTGGCTCAGTGGATAGACCATCAGCCTGCGGACTGAAAGGTCCCAGGTTCGATTCCGGTCAAGGGCATGTACCTTGGTTGCGGGCACATCCCCTGTGGCGGGGGTGCAAGAGGCGGCTGGTTGATGTTTCTCTCTCATCGACGTTTCTAACTCTGTCCCTCTCAATTCCTCTCTGTGTAAAATCAAATATATATTTTTAAAAAATAGTTCTGCTTTCAGCTTTTAGAAGGAACTCTTCCCCCTCTTTGGGTGCAAGAGGAGTAACTTAAGTGACCTTTTCTTTGAGGGAAAGCAGTGGTACCTGGCAAATAGGCTCCTTGTTCTGCATAGGTAAACCAGTGCCAGGCAATAAATGGCAAAAGTGGTGACTGGTTTGCCTGCCATGCCCAAGTACCTGTGCTTGCCTGATTGGTGGGCATGGGTCAGAGGAGCCAACAAGACAGCATGAGCTGATAATTTGTAGGTTGAATGAAATGGTATCTGACTGGCCTCATTTGGTTATGAGCCCGTCACTTGAATGGGAGTAAGGTCATTGACCCCTGTCGAGCTATTTTTGCCCATTCTTTGAGCTAAAATAAGTTCTGCATCATCACCATTCATTCCCCATTTGAGTGAAAAATTCTAACAAGTAGAAACTTCAAAATAAATGGTTAATCATAAGCAGCTCTGGAAAGCCCTGAGAATTGGAATTCTGACACGCTCCCTTTGACCATGACAGAAAGCTAAACTTGCCAGCTGAAGGGAAGCTCCTGGCTGAGCCCCAGCACCCTCTGTTGGAGCTTCCAGTCAGCCTGGCCAATAAGCATTTCCCATCCATTACCCCAGCTTTAGCACAGCTGAGAGAATTTGGTCCAGAGTCAAATGCTTCTGAAAATGTACACACAGATTGGGGCAGCCCTCTGCCTTTTGCCAAGACACCGAGTGCCCTTCTTGGCAAAAGATCATCCCTGCCCTAGAGTCCTTCCAGTTGGCAGGAATTGTGCCCTCCCACCTCATCAACAGCTGTAAAGCCAGGACTTCCACTCTGTGCAGGAAGAACTGCGGTCCTGTTTCAGCTCTTCACTGCAGAGGTAGGAGTGCTAGGCTCTGCTCTCACGCAGTCTCTTCTTGGGGGACAATCAGGACTGAAAGAGGTGACTCAAACTCCACAGGGTAGGGTGATTTCACTGCTCAGGCAATCTCAGCCTAACCTTTACACTAGATCTCATCACCCCCAGAACCAAGTGATTCCAAGGATCAGAGACCTTATAAATGGGAATCCCATCTTCGCAACTAAACCACTCTGGTGTTCAGCAAAGACCAATATGGTTACAATTGATCATGGAGGTGAAAACTAAGGACCCCATCGAGGTGGACACACCTGTGTGACCAGAGACAACAGTTTTCTCTTTGACCTTGGAAGGATGGAGCTGCTCTTCTCTAAGGATCTAAGGAATGGGATGGTTTTATGGCCAGCAGCTGTCTTTTTACCATCCTAATAACAGTCTTTTAAGAGTCTGGGAGAGGGACATGAAGGGCCCAGGGCAGGAAGCTTCCTGTTTACCCTGAGGTCTAACAATGCTGCAGCTGGATTGGGCGTCTACAATTTCAGAGAAAAGTAATTTCCTCCTGAGACCTAGCTAAAACAGAAACCAGAGCTTCTTGTACCTAGAAATCGGTGCTTTTTTGTTCTTTAATGAAGGTGGGAGGAGAGGGAATGTTTGACATGTCTTCACCAGTCCCCCAAGGGAGGTGGGGGCTATTTTTCTTGAACAGACTCTCTCACCTTCATCTAAAAATGTAATGTGTGCAGGTTCAAGGGATTGGAAACAATTCTTTCAGCAATTATTTATTCCTATTTTAGGGGAATAAAGATGACTTGCTATACCTCCTGTTCTCATATAACTGTCTCAGAGAGTTGCTAGCAGATAAATAGAAACATTAATCAAGATAGAAACTGATTGCCCTAGCTCATTTGGCTCAGTGGTTAGAGCATGGGCCTGCAGACTGAATTAAAGCTTTGCTCCCATGCTTAGGAAGAGGTCACTGAGGTACAGAGTAAGAACTTTGTAAATTCACATAAGGTGGAGATCCCTTCCAGCTTGGAATACCTGAAAAGGCTTCCTAGAGAAATGGCCTTCGAGCTGGACTTTGAAGGACCAGTAGGGTCCTTCACAAAAACATTTATACTGTCCTAACCGGTTTGGCTCAGTGGATAGAGTGTCAGCCTGCAATCTGAAAGGTCCCAGGTTCGATTCCAGTCAAGGGTATGTATCTTGGTTGTGGGCACATCCCTAGAAGGAGGTGTGCAGGAGGCAGCTGATCGATGTTTCTAACTCTCTATTCCTCTCTGTAAAAAAATTAATAAAATGCATATTTTAAAAAATCTATACTGAGGATCCAAGATGGCTGCTCGGGTAGACATCTAGCCGCGGCAGCACACAACAATTTCAATGGAATACAACTAAAATGTAGAGTGGACATTGCCCAGAGCTACAGGTAGTCGACTGACTGAAATTTCTACAACAAGAAGGAAAGAGAAAACCAGAAAGAAAATCAGAGGAGCTGAAAAAAAGCCTAAGGTACGGAGACATGCTGCGCGCGCCTGCCCGCCCGCACGCGCGCACGGAGAGGTCGCAGCCGGAGAGGAGGAGAGGGCGGGGAGCCGCCTTTCCTTCCCTAGCAGGAAGGAAATAAAACCTCCACCCTGGGCTGAACCCCCGAACCGGCAGCGCTGAGCCCCAGTTATGGGCCAGACCCTGGGGACCCAGGCTCCGGCGGGAGGAGACAGGGCCTTGAG